TTTTTTTACTAACCTGCCTTTCAGCTGCATTCTGTTTCTCCATTCGCTTCTCAGCCTTATTTTTTTTTTTACCGATAGTCCTACAAACATGTGGTGAAGGCTGAGAAGCGAATGGAGAAATAGAATGCAGCTGAAAGGCAGGTTCGTAAAAAAAAACACTTGGGGGAAGTGAGGGTATCTGGGCAGGGGTGGGAGCAGCAACCTTACCCTGCATGGTGGCAGGAGGGTGGGGCCCGTGCTTTTCCCATGCCAGGCCAGCCCCTGCAGCCCCAGGGTGGCCGTGCTGGGCGGCGGTGGGCAGGGTGTTGAGGTCAGGGCTGGCAGGCCGACCAAAGCAGCAGGTGGAGCATGGAGGCTCGGGGAGGAAGGGTGCTGAAGTGGGCGGTTGGGTCATTGGCAAGAGCAACGTGTCTGAGCAAAAACCTCAGAACAAGCAGGGCAGGTAAGGAAAGAAATCCTTGTTCCCCCCCAGAAATTGCCTTTCTTTTCTTACCTGACTCCCAGCCCTGTGCCATTTCTCCTTTGCAATCCGCCGCCTCTGCCATGTGCAAGGAAACAAAGGAAGTTTTTTTTGGGGGGGGAGGTCAATCAATCAATTCCAACTTCTCGTGAAAGATCGCAAAGTTGGAATTGATTGACTGACCTGGACTGACACCCTAGATCAGATTTCCCCAACCTTTTGGGCACCAGGGACCGGTTCCATGGGAAAAGGTTTTTCTGCGGATTGGAGAGTGTGTGGTTTTGTGTGCTGCCTGCATCTCATGGATGCGGTTTGCTTGTTTGCGCGGCCCAGTTGCTGGCATGCCACAGCCTGGTACCGGTCCACAGACCGCGGGTTGGGGATCCCTGCCCTAGATGATAGGCTCAAGATCCAGAGGGCTCTTGACAGACTTGAACACTGGGCCCTATGTAACAAAATGCAACTCAATGTAGAGAAAAATAAAGTCTTACACTTAGGCAAGAAAAACCAAAAGTGCACATACAGATTAGATGAAACATGGCTTAAAAGCAGTAACTATGAGAGGGATTTTGGAGTCCTAGTAGATAATCAATTAAATATGAGCCAGCAGTGTGAGCAGCAGCCAAACATGACAATGCGATCAAGATCACATGAGGTACTAATAGCACTCTAGAAACCTTAGTAAGACCACATCTAGAATACTGCATCCAGTTTTGGTCACAACACTATAAAAAAGATGTTGAAACTTTAAAAAGAGTCTAAGAAGAGCAACAAATATGATTAGGGACCCGGAGGCTAAAACATATGAGGAACGGTTGCAAGAAGTGGGCATGGCTAGTCTAGTGAAGAGAAGGAACAGGGATGAGATGACATGATAGCAGTGTTCCAATATTTGAGGGACTGTCACAGAGAGGAGGGGGACAATCTATTTTCCAAAGCAGCCAAAGGCCAGACAAGGAAAAATGGATGGAAACTGATCAAGGAAAGATTCAACCTAGAAATAAGGAGAAATTTTCTGACAGTGAGAACAATCAACCAGTGGAACAGCTTGTCGTCAGAAGTTGTGGATGCTTTATCATTGGAGGCTTTCAAGAAGAGACTGGACTTCAAAAAGAGACTTGTCAGAAATGGTAAAGTGTCTCCTGCTTGAGGAGGGGGTTGGACTAGATGACCTACAAGGTCCCTTCCAACTCTGTTATTCTGTATAAACAATAGGCAACTTGGTTAAAAATGTCATCATGGTATATATTCCCAGTTTAATATATTGAAAGATTTGGGGCATCCATGACCAGTAAATCTTACTAGCACCAATCCACATGGGCAGAAAGTACAAGAAAAGGCTGGGTGCAGAGATGTTGACTCATTACATCATTCCTTCATTTATTGTTCTATAAAATAGATTCCAGGAAGCCTAAAATCAGCCATTAGGTTTCTTCAACTGGCTGAGAACAGAAGGTTCTGCCTGTTAAAGAAACCAGGTGGTCAGTTCCGGTCAATAGATGCAGGAGAACCCAGATGGCCAGCACTGATGAAATGAAATTCTCTCTAATTTAGGAGGCAAGTCATTAATAAGTTAATCACATAGCTTAATGAAGTAATGACTCTAGCCCTGATTCTCATGAGGCAGTTATTCCACATGGACAAATGGTATTTAATATGCAAAAAATCCTTCCTGTGTTTTATATACTGAAATGTAATCATGTACATAAAGTATATTACTATCAGTGTGTCAATAGAAAAGGGTATTTACTGAATTAATAAAGGTGTTATCAGATTAAATCACATCCCAAATATTCAAAGAAAATAGGTAGATAAATGAGAAGAATATGCTTATTTTATATGCTTGTGTATAATATTTGTAGAATAATATTATTTCTGTTCTATTGTAATTGGGAGACAAAGTGCAGCCGTATTTTTATATATATTATGCTGAATAAAAGAATTTTGCTGTAGCTCCTATTTGGTATCCTAGAAATTCTAGCATCATGCATACAAGTATTATAAAGAATATCAGCTGCTGCCATGTACTAAATTGTCATTTATTGCTGTCACAGCTGCTTCCTGTCATTATTGAACAAACTGGCACAATTCCAAAGATCAGCTCATTTTTTTTATTATTTTTCAGACCAATGGATCTCAAAAATTTCACCAGAGATAGCACTTTGTTTCAAAGAAACAGAATATGGGAGTGCAGATGTATCCCTCTCCATCCCTACTTTTCATTCTGCAAATCTTCCTCCTCCACTATTAATTCAGGGAAATGTTATACAGTGGACCTGGAACAGGATCACTAAAGATCCTTCCTTGGGAGAAAGTTTTCCCCAGCAGAGAAAAAAAAAAATCAGATTCAGATGGAGAACTGAAAAATGAGGAAATATCACATGCAGAAAAAAATACCTTCCTGCTCTTTTAACGCTGTGTTACTTTTAAATAAAACTTAAATAAATAAATTTATTTATTTTAATAAAATGTGTAAGTTAGAAAAACTGCTATCGGACTTCTCCTAACTTGCTAGCAAAAACTAACATGACTTTCCTCCTATTATACTGTATCTTCAATGTACATGAATCTCTTGTGACTTCTTTAAAAGGTTACTTTGCCTAAAATGGAAGGATTTTACAAACACAAGATATTTGCCACTCTAGGAACCATCAAATGGCAAATCTATCAGTGGAATTGTTCTGTAATGGTAGGAAAAATATAGATATAGCTAATATATCTCCACCATCAAAATCTGTTTTAGTAATATTTTAGCCATAGTAGAATATTAGAACTAGTTTCTTATGCTGAATTTCAGCATTCCTTTAGAGAATAATTTCAAAATTAGAAGAAATTTGCTGAAAAGGCGATGCCTTTTAACTGAGGGTCAAGACTCAAAAGGAACCTAAGTTGATAGCAGAGAGCACCAAGCCCATAATAGAAAGCCCTTGACATATACAAGCAGATAAATCCCACTGAAGCAGCAGACGTTCTTGAGAATGCAGTCACAATTCTGGAGGAATAAATCACTGCTTTTGGCAAACTGGTACTGTGAATTTCAATTACATACCTCAGTGCTTAAGATGGGTTTGACAATTAGTTACAATGGCTTGTCAGCTCCTGCTAAGACACAAGCAACAGAGCCTTTTTCACAGACTACTTTCACAAGTAACATTTGCCTAGGGTAATGAGGCAGGAGTAAAAGAGAGAAAGAAGGGCAGGAGATCTGGCAGGACATTTTTAAACTTAGTCTTAAAATTGCTCACCAACTTCTAATTTTACTTTGGAGAATGGGGTGGTTACTACCAGTGACAAGCCTCCAGGCATGCCACACTATATCTGCTCCCAGGTGAAGTATCTAACCCACATTTTCTGGCATAATAAAATCATAGAAGCATAAAGTTGGAAGGCGCCATTTAGATTCCAGAGCCTAATACCAGCTGAATAATGGATCACTTTTCCATTGTTAATCAAAATTCAGCACTTGCCTTTAGGATGAAAGCCTTCCTTTTTGTAAAAATGATTTGTCGGTATTCAAGGCTATTGTACTTATCACTTTTCCATTTAGCAGCCTTTGATGTGTTAGTCCTTGGAGAAGGAAACCCACTCTTGGATGAATGGCTATTCCTTCTAGGCCTGCTTTCTATGATATAGGATGTCAAACCTTGTGGGGAACTAATAGGCTGTCTGGTATTCTTGAAGAAAGAATGGGAAATAACTTCCATTCTTGGAAGTGCTACTGTCCCCATATTATCCTCTCACTTGTAACTCTTTTGTTTATTGTAGTAATGTGACTAAGTGCAATATTGGAAGAATATGAATAGGCAGTATAATGTTTTGAAAGTCATCTGAAGTTTGCGTTTATTGCAGCCAATGGTCACTCCTGTGTGACAATAATACATGAAACAACATAAAAAGCACAATCCCTTTCTGCGATCATAAAACCCTAAAATTAAGGCAATATTTTTCTGCATTAAGCAATGACAGCTCTAAGGAGGAGAGCTACAGCTCATGAAAGTTTATGTCTTAAATAACATTTGTAGGTTGGAAAAGGTGCTACCTGCCAGGGGCCATTAAGAGCAAAGCTAGTACCTTGTAATATTACAAGATACTAGCTTGTGATGTTACTTGTAATAAATGAGAGCAAACATTTTGGCCTTTTTTATGTTTTGGACATCGGGAGGTTTTAAGACTCCAAAAAGTAAGCACACACATAAAACCCAAGTATAATAAGCATGAAGGTTTTGGAGGGTTGGGGATTTTAAAGGTATGCCAGATATTTTGAGCTTCTGTAATGATTAATACTCTCAAATTTTCCCTAAAATTAAAAAAAGAAAACAAATTTTCCCCCAACCAATTGTTGGGTATCCAGCTTATATATTTCACTCCTTATGCAGAATAAACACCTACTAACGAAGACAGGCAGAGCTGATTTTTAGTATAGAGTAAGCATTGCATGTAGAACAGTTCTCTACGGCCTTCTTTTAAATTTGCATTTTGCTGAAAAGTATGGATTGTAAGAAACAAGCGCAAAATAAAATACACATTTCTTTGCTCCTACCTGTCTAATGAAATACAGCACAGATGAAGAATTGATGCAGTAGTGAGGAGGACATCAAGAGAAGTGCGAACCAAACAGAACATCCTTCCATAAATCCAGTTATCCTGAACCAGCTCAATCGCGCCAAATGGCATCACCAAAACAGATACTAGCAAGTCAGCAAAGGCGAGAGAGACTATGAAATAATTGGTCTTGATTCTCCTGTAAAATGAAATATACAAGCATTGATCCTCAAGTATTAGGCAATAATTAGTTCTGAATTGAAAACTGTTTCATCATTTACTGTGTTAGTTCTGTATTAATCAAATGCATGTTTTGTTTAATATTTGTTTATTCATAAAAATTGCTCCAAAAACATGAAAATTATCTAATTTTACCCTAGTCATCCATATAGAACTGATTTATATTTTAGTACTTTTTCAATTTTAACAAGCTCATCTCAAACCCTTTTTAAAATAATTTTCATTAGCAACCATGGTCAGAAAACATATTACGTAAAACTATAATTTATTCATCAAAATGATGCATTTTAATTAACATTCTGATAGTAACTTGATTTCATACATTTTGAAGCATCTTATTGTATTGTTTAAAAGCATTTGTGAATATGGTGGTATAAAACTGTTTTCTGGTCCTGAATGTGATCATTACTTATGCATGAGAAAATTTTTATTTTAGTATTTGCCGAGCATTATAGACAATATAGAGTTTGGTATAGTGGTTAAGGCACCAAGTTAGAAATCAGGAGACTGTGAGTTCTAGTCCCACCTTGGGCACAAAGCTAGCAGGATGATCTTAGATCGGCCACTGCCTCTCAGCCGTAGGAAGAAGCTTTTTCTTGACAAAGCTTTTCAAACACTTTTGAAAAGCTTTGTCAAGAAAATTGCAGGGACTTGTTCAGCCAGATTCCAAGAATTGGACATGATTGAACAGAAGAAATAAAAATGATCAATATATTACAGATTCATTAGAATTTAGAATTAGTATTTAAATTGCAGTAACAATATAAAGTTTGCAGACTCGGAAGCTTTAGTTAGAATCAAAAGATATGTAGATTGATGGCAGGAAGAGATGTCTCAACAAAGAATCTTGTTTGTAGTTTTCTCTGCAACTGTCGCAACTATGAATTGAGAACCTTGCCATTCAAGTATTTCCACTTTTGAAATATATAATAAAGCTTTCCTTCTATATCAGTACACAATGGACTACTCATTTCCTTACTATAATGTTAACTGCTACCTTGAAGGCTTGGAGCATTAGACTATACTGCACACACAAAAAAGAAAAGAAAATCTAGCAATTTTTGTTCCTCTACAGCAGCTATGTACTTCTGTTCTTGAAGCACTATAATATTTGTTTTGAATGTAACTGTCCTAGAATAAAAAAAATTATTAAATTGGCAATCTAATTAAATAAAAATGCTTGACATAAATAAACATACCTGTTTGGAGTTAATTTGCCTGTGTCTCTCTATGTGTACATCACAGTACATCGTACTGTATGTACATCATACAAAAGGCCGGGTTGGATGAATCAGAAGCCAGAATTAAGATTGCTGGGAGAATCTCAACAACCTCAGATATGCAGACAACACCACTTTAGTAGCAGAAAGTGAAGAGGAACTGATGAGGGTGAAAGAGAAGAATGCAAATGTTGGCTTAAAACTCAACATTAAAAAAGCTAAAATCATGACATCTGGTCCCATCACTTCCTGGGAAATAGAAAGGGAAGAAATGGAAGCAGTGACAAATTTTATTTTTGGGGGGCTCCAAGATTAACTGCAGATGGTGACTGCAGCCCTGAAATTAAAAGACGCTTGTTCCTTGCGAGAAAAGCTATGGCAAACCTAGACAACATATTAAAAAGCAGAGACGTCACCTTGCTGCAAAGGTCCATATAGTTAAAGCTATGGTTTTCCCAGTAGTAATGTATAACTGAGAAAGTTGGACCATAAGAAACTGAAGAATTGATGCTTTCAAACTGTGGTGCTGGAGAAGACTTTTAAGAGTCCCTTGGACTGCAAGGAGATCAAATCAGTCAACCCTAAAGGAAATCAATCCTGACTGTTCTTTGGAAGGACAGATACTGAAGCTGAAGCTCAAATACTTTGGCCACCAAATTAGAAGAGAGGACGCACTATAAAAGACCCAAGATGTTGGGAAAGATTGAAGGAAAAAGGAGAAGGGGATGGCAGAGGATGAGATGGTTAGGTAGTGTCATCAACACAATGAACATGATTTGGGCAAATTCCAGGAGACAGTGTAGGACAGAGAGACCTGGTGTGCTATAGTCCATGGGGCCATGAAGTCAGACAAGACTTAGGGAAAGAACAAAAACGGTGTGTGTAAAGAATAAAAAGAGATATCCTATTTCAATCCTTACTTGAAGGATTACTTACTATTCCTTACTATATTTGAAGAAATATAATCATTTCACATATATTCTCTATTGCTGATTGATATTTATTTTCTTTCATACTTTAAAATGTTTTACACACTGGTTATATATTAAATAGCTTTAATAAAACAACAATGTTCTTCAAATAGTTATGATCAAAAACAGCAAACAAAGCATATATTATTTATTCAAGTGAAGCAAGATTTTTTTTGCTATGAAGATTTGTGTGGCGGAACAGAAGCAAAATAAAAATAAAAACTGAACACATATTAGTGATAAGAAATGGTATAATTATCTATTATAATGCTTTAATTAACCAAGCTTGAAAACAAGATTTGTTAAAAATGAAAATCTAATGCTTCAAAAAAAAAAAAAAAATAGTTGGATTTCAGGTTTTTGTTCTTTCCTTTAAATTAAGAAATCTTTCTAACAGGTTAATAAATGTTAATTAAATCTGAAAGATATATATTACCTGGAAGGCATCTATAGGACACTAGTTTCTCTCTAAATTATTTTTAAATAAAAATCTCTAAAACATAATCAAATTAAAAGGGGTATGGCGCCTAATAGTTACCAAGGCAATTGTGGCTCAGAACAGTGATTTCAAAGACTCAGGAATTAAATTTTTCCAGTTGTTTTATTTTTCTTGTTTTTAAATGCCTAATTGTATTTAGTACATCAAACTTTTCTTTGAATAATGTATTCACATCTTTAAAACTTTCATTGTTCTCTCTTAAGTCTACATTTTTTATGTAGACAGCAGAGGTCAAAGTAAAAACTCTAATCCAGTGGTTCTCAACCTTTTCTTCATCACCACCACCAATTTTAAATACCTTTTGTGGCAAAAGACCATGGCCATGGACCCTCACCCCAAGATTTAAGATTTAAACTATAACATTTCTTCAAGCCTTCACAGACCTCCTGTGGACCACAGGTTGAGAACCACTGCTCTAATCCTACTAAAAGATTTCACTTAAGAACATCATACAGCATATTCAATCAAATCAATCAATTCTTTGAAAGGAGCTCAGCATATCACTTCAGTTATTAAATTTTTTTGGCTAAGATCCAAGTGCAGCTGCTTTTTGGAGTCAGTTGGGCCCCTACAGAACATTCCTTCTTTTGGAAAGAATTCAGTTTAAATTTTTGAGACTGATTTCTTCAATCATCTTGTTGCATTTCAAACTTGGTCCTTCCCCATGAAATTGGGCTGCTTCTGCCTGGATTTTCATCTTCTATTGGCTTAAGCTCTTTTTTTTCCAGCTGACTTGGCCCCTTTAATTATGATTGACAGTTTCCTGGTGCCAAACTACAAGTCTGTGGCTTTTCATGGCCTGTTATCACTTTGAGGGGCTATGAATGCACAGAATGCACAGAAGCTGGTCTCAAGCAGCAGACCATAGATTAATAACTTCAATCAAACTTTCCACTTCTATCAAAAAAAACCTTCTTGAGCCACTCTGCACATCTTCTCCAACCAGCTAACAACCCACATAATGATCCAAAATTCAGAAGTTATTTATCCTTCCAACAGCCATTACTGAAAGAAGATACCAAAAGAACCCCTTTGAACAGAGACTGTGCCTTGCTCCACAATGACAAAAAGCTTAACAAAAAATGATCCTGAGAAAGTTTAAAATGGCTTAACAGTCTAGTTAACTTTGAAATAACAATATTTTTACTAAAGTGTTTTTAAAATAATTACATAAATAGAGTAATAACTTCATTAGAATTGTTTAGACTTCTAATAGAAGGATAATCAGTGGACTTTGGAAAATAAAGAGATAAACCATGTAACCATAGAATTACAGAACATCAGAAGGGATTGAATATTTAAGGGCTAGAGAAAGCTGAAAAGGAAGGAGGAGGAGGAGGAGGAGGAGGAGGGGAGAGGGGGACAAAATGGGATCAAAGATATGGATGGAGAATATCCATATTGAAGAACAATATTTCAATATCAAATTAAGAGTTAACAATGTCAGAATACTATGTAAGAGCAAAGAATACAAAATTGACTTGTTTGATGAAGGAGGAAGGTAATAAGTATTTTTATAAAATATTGTAAACCCTTTATGAGTTTTTTGCTGACGCTTTTACATGACACTAACATATGCAAGGACTCACCTCAGTTGCCTATCCCTGCATACAGCAACCATCACCAGCAGATTCCCCAGGATAGCCATAAGAATAACTGCTGAAATAAAAGTGAGCAGTGTAATCTTCTCTGCCACGCCAAATCCTTCAGTTGAGCTGTAAAAAAAAAAAAAAGGTACAGATGTAAATCCTCAAGAATATAAATAGGCAGTGCCATATTGGTTTGGTTATTCAGAGTCTCTGTACATAATTGAGCTTCTTCATCTGCAAAAACTACACTAACTTCCAACAACTAATGGTTGTAAATAAACATAATTTACAGGGAAACTGGTCTACTTACAGGGTTAAAAGTAACAAAAACAAACGCTACATGTAAAGTGACCAATCCCCAACACCACACCTATTTTATAGTTCAAAACTTCAGGACCAATGTTTAAGTCATTTTTTGTAATTAATTTTTCAACCTATACTAAAAAAATGGTATTCAATTAATTAATTATTAATTAATTAATTAATTAAATTTATATACCTTGGGTTTTTTTAAAACAAGTTGTTCAGATATATACTTTTCTGACCAAAAATATAGAACTGTCAATACCTATCTGATGATGTTATCTGGGCTGGAAAATTACTGTAAGATAATTCCCTGCTTAGTTCCCAGTCAATCCCTATATCGATCAGAGCAAGCACACTCACCACAAATAAAATCTCACTTTTTCTTCATCCATTTCTTGTGGTGCTGGGACAATTAGTTGAAGCTGATAATAGGAGATTATACAAAGAAAACAAGTTGTACCTTAGTAAAGGCCATTGCCAATATGTTGGATAGGATTGCAAACCAAATCCCTCAAATCAAATGTTTTAACAAATCAATATTTTGCATGAATTCTCTTCAAAAGGAAGCCATATGCAAAGTTGTGATTACCATGCCTACATAAGCATTTTCCAGGAATAAGCACTAGCCTATATTGGGAATATTGGTCTCAATCAAACTCTGGAAATTCATGTTAATGGTTATATTACAACAACTACAAATTTGCATGTAAGAAAAGTGCCATCCCATCCCATACAGGTCGAGCTCCTCATTCTGCTCAACTGATCACATGAACCTCTGTTTTTGTTTGTTTATTTGTATTTTGGATTAAGCTTTAATATTCTTTCCCAAGATCTCCACAGCTTTCTTGGAATATGACTGAAAAATGAGAGTCCCTGTAGCAATATATTTAGGTGTTGCAGCCATGTTGTGATACTGGGATATGAACATTCTGTTGAAGTCAGGAAAACAGAAATCTTTGAAGCAAGCGACTCAACTTGACAGTCTTGGATCCTTCATAGCCAAGGCAGAATGTAGTTCAAACTATACTTGTCTTTTCCATCATATCAACAGTCTTCAATGTACTTTGCTTGGTAAGCAAAAAAAGAAAAAATGGTATCTATTGTATAAGGAAGTCATCTTGCCATGAAAGAATGTCCAGAGAGAACCAACCTAAATTCTGGGAAATTAGGTGCAATTCCTAATTGTATTAATTATTGAATCTTTAAGTAAGAAGAAACTGGAACATATTAAACCATAATTGAGTATGCATTAATGAATTATTATAGACACTGTTGAATAAAATAAAAATGTTAATTTGGCCTGCTATAATTCTGAGATGAACAATTATATTTGTATAACAATTAATATTCAATCATTATTAAGTGATCATATTCTTTGGGAGGGAATAACGTTCACCTTTTCTTTATAGAATAATGCATTCTTCCAACTGTTCTATCATCCATTCATAAGTTGATAATGATAAATTTACACAGTAGCAATTCATTAAATCCTATTTTGATAATCTATATTTAGCTGCAAAAATGTAAAGGTTTTTTCATTGTTAGTGTCAAAGGAATTTAAATAGTTCATTTTGCAATGTGGTACATTATTTCTACTGTTTCCTTTCTAACACAAAATTGCCTAAGGTGAATTTACAGCAGCATACTCATACTGGCTAACTAAAGCCTGCATTGTAACAGATTATTTTCCAGAAAGAAAATTATTGCCCACAGTTATATTTTAAAACACTTTCCTAAGAGTTTAAATGCAAAGCAAAATCCTATGCTATATATAAGCACAAGTGTAACATATTTGAAAATACTAACTTTCAATCTGGGAGATCCAGATTTAATTGGCCACACAGCTACAAAGGGCATTGAATAAATATGTGAATTTAAAGTATAGTATATGGGTTTTCTATAATTTAGAATGTTTAAATTATACACATTATTAGGTTATGCATGTAATAATTTTAATTGCACATAATTTACAAAAAAAGTGAAATCATAAAAACAGTGGGCATATGGTCGTGATGGTATCATGGAAACTGCTTTATTTTCTTACTTGAGCAGTTTGTGATATGTTCCAAAGTCAGCCTTGGTCATGTCTTTGCTGTGATAATTGAGCTCTTCCCCCTCCCTGTACCAATAAAAAAATCAAATTGATTTCTAGCCACTCCATCTGGTAATGTCCATGTATATAGATGCTGTTTGCTTTTTGGAAGACTTTATTACCTATTTATATATTTATTGGATTTGGGGGCTATTTGACTCTGAGATGATTCTGAATGGTCTGCATTCAAGGAAAGGAGACAATAAAACAGAAAAAAAGCATATATGGCCAGAAAAAAACACAACTTATCAAGAAAGCAGTAACTATCACGGGATCAACTGCTACCCTAATCTTAGGCCTGGGAAGAAAGCCAGATCTTCAAAATGTTCTGAAATAACTGAAAGGGTGGATCTTAGGGGGATATTGTTCCAGGGAATAGGCACTGCAAAATCAATGGGTTTGCAGAAACTGATAAGTCATTCTCATTTCTCTTTCTTAGGTCATATAGCTGAACTATGTTTTCTTTCTTTTTATGACAATTTTTGTCATTCCAATATCCAGCTCCAAATGGCATAACTTGTTTGAATGTTCTGTTGAGTTCAGATTCAACTAGACCATAAAACCCATTAACCTGGCGAACATAAACATGGATGAATTTCAAACTAAAGGGATTGTCCACAAAATCTAATTGATATTATTTGGGCATTGATATTTTTTTGTAGACTTCCTGACTATGAAAAAAACACCATTCATTCTTTGTTCTTTATGTCCTAAGTAGTAAACAATATGATCTTTTGATTGAAAAATCTGATGTGCAATCCAATCCATTTCAATTTTCTGATGCATAAAATGTCAATATGTAGTTGATATGTTTCATTTTACATTGTCTTGCGCTTTCCGTTGCTCATGCTTCTTACATTTCATGGTCCCACTTGAAATTCTATTCTATCAGCGTCAGGTTTTCATCATTTGACATTATATCATCAATCATGGCATAAGTATTTTTTCCATGTGGTCTTCTTGGTAGCATATAGAAATGGTTTACCATTATTTTCTCCCATATACCATGAAATGATCCTTTTTCATGGTTAATCAGAATGATAATCATGATAATCCTTTTCTTCCTATGTTATTGCTGCCAACGTAAGCGCCTGCTTGATTTAGCTGGATAGTTGGTACAATTTTCATATCTTGGATGATTTTGCTGGGGGTATGTACACTTGGCATTCTTCACTAATCTCCACAGGTGTAAACTCCCTCGTCCATGATGAAGCCACAGCAAAATTTTGGGGGATTTTTTAAATTACTATCATTCTACAACTACAAATTTTCAGGATAAAATGTTTTTGCATTTCTTCAGGGCTCTGGTCCACTTTAATAGCCCATCATCATTTAGTAGCTTCTAGTCATAAGTCTCTTCTATTAATAGATGGAATGCATGGAGAGTCTTCCAATACTTGAAGGGCTGCCACAAGGAATAATGGGCCAACCTACTTACCAAAGTACCTGTAGGCAGCACAAGAAACAATGGATGGAAACTAACCAGGGAGAGAAGCAACACTGAACTAAGAAGAAAATTCCTAACAGTGGGAACAATTAACCAATGGAACAAATTGCCTGTGGAAGTCGTGGGTGCCCCATCACTGGAGGCTTTTAAGAAGAGACTGGTCTGCCATTTATTAGAAATAATATAGGTCTCCTGTGAGAGCAGGGGTTGGACTAGATGACCTCCAAAATCCCTTCCAGCTGTTACTATTAAATTTCCTGAACTTATGGAGGAATTCTGCTCACAATTTTGTATTATGTGTAAGTAGCGCTTCCAATTCTGTGCTGAGTCTCTATAATCAGAAAATTCTTTCCAGTTCAGATGTTATACATGGCAGAAGTACAGAGCACAATGGCTTTAAAGACAGGGATTCGTGTATGGCTCCTTTCCATATGGTTACTTTACCCATGCAAGTAGCATATCAATACTGCTTATGGAACTTTTTGGATCAACAAGTTCAACAAGAGCTAAGCTCAAAGTTCTTAAAAGAGATTTTCAGAGAAAATACAAGCATTTTCTTTCTTTCAATTGTAATCAAGCGAAGTTTTGTGGAATATTATCTACCACTGATAGTATTTTACTTTTCAGAAAGAGTTGAGTTTTAACTCTCTAATATAACAGGGGATATTTAGGAAAAAGATTGTCCTCTTCATTCAGTGCACGTAGGATTAGATTGTGGGGACTCAAAGACCATACTGAATCTCAACTCATAGACCTTTCATTTAACCTGTCTTTCTGTTAACAACTTAGTCTACTGTCCTACATCTATAGAATAAATTATGATAAAGTAACATGAATATTTTATCCAAGAGAAATCTCAGCTTTCACAGGTAAGACAGTATTAGAACTTCAAATAAAATGACAAATGGCTCCATCCAAGGAAATAGTACACTTAATTAGGCAGTTCTGTCCCGCCGAGCATACTTTAACTCAACTAAAAATGTAATTATGGTTTCAGCAAGTAATACACCAGAGACTATCAGGCTGTCTCCTACAGTCTAAATGGTTTCTAGTCTTTGCTGTAATTACTTTCAATGCCTGCCCCAGACTTTGGGTCACTGCGTCTTGGTCAGTTCATAAAACAAGTTGGTCTGATTCTGCAGTGATGAAAGTATCTTGAGCTGAGTATAACTAAGAAGTCAGAGTTTGGTTCTCCAGTCCTTTCTCTTCCTGTTTTTACCTCAATGGTTTTCATAATTACACTTATAAAATTCCCTATAAATGCAAATTTGAAATAATTAT